CGGTCATCTTTTAAAAAAAAAAAAAAACTAGGGAGAGGGGGAAGCAGGCCCACTGGGATATGGAATCTGCCAGCAAAGCCTGAAATCCTATATAACCAGAAGGGGGACAGCCTCAGGGTCTGGAGATGTGCATCCAACATCCTCCAGTTCTCTTGGAACAACTAAAAGACCTCCAAAGGCGCACAGGGCTGAAAAAACACACAGGGAAATATACCGAGGAAGGAAGGACAGGAAGCAAGATAGCCTTTATAGACTCAGAATGGCTAAGCACAGAAATGATGGCAGAAGAGATGTCTCAGAGGAAAGCTCAGAAGTCCCAGACAATGACTGGCAGGACAGTTTGTTTTGTTTTTGTTTTATTTAGGGGGTTAACCTTGAGTGGTCTATCTCTAAAGCAGAAAGTGACAGGAAAAAGGGCCACAAAGAAGACTCACACAGTTTTTTTTTTGGGGGGGGGGGATTAATAATTTCACATCACCAGGCCCATAGTGCCATCAATCTGATAGCAGATCTCATTGTCAGACCCCACATCAATGCAATGCAATGATTAAGTTCCAAACCCATCTCCCAAAGCAGAGGAACCAGTCACAAGTCCATGGCTCATAAACATTTGTCTCAAAGGCATAAAGAGGGAAACATCAAAAAGAGTAGGACCACATTATGCTTTTTGTTTTTTTACAGCCTCTAGCCTCTTCCTCGGGAATTCCTAGTTCCCATTAATACAACTTCTCTGAAACTGTTACCAGAGACATTAATAGGTGTTGCATGGGACCAAAAAAAAAAAAAAAAAAGTTCAGTGATGAAATAAGTTTGGGAAATGTTGCATACATATTAAGTTATAAAGTCCTGTGGTAAAGGAACCTGCTCAATTTCATTTAAATTGCTGGTTTCTCAGCTTATTTGACCACAGAACCCTTTTAAGGAACATCTATTACCATCTCACAGAGCTTTGAAAAATGCTGCTTAACCATTTTTGTTAATGTCTCATCCCAAGAATGGGAGAAACATGTCAAGATTAGGAATACCCAGGAATCACACATAAAATGGTTTTAAAAAATTAGTATATCAGAAAGTTTAAGGCAATGATTTGAAAACTGGATAATCTTGACCTTCTGTGAGGCATTTGCTCAATGGTAAATACAGCAAGGAACACTGAAATTAGATTTAAAAGCAGACAAGCAAAAGCCAACAAAAAACAGTACTAGGCTGCTCTGCTTAGTCATGGCCTGGCTAGGAGAGAAAAGAACAGCACTCGGTGGCATCTTCTCTTACTGCTTTGACAGGGGAGACACACACACGGGTGCGTGCTCACACTCAAACTTCCTCCAAAAGATTCAGACCAAACTTCAAAGCAGCCATGTACAAACTAGTCTGTCTTTGTTCTTCCAAAAGCCAAATAAACCAGTTAGGGTCTCTAGGGAAAGAGACAAATGGCTCATGCTGGCACTCTTAACTGCTGTCAAAGGAATCTCCCCTTATACTCCTTAGGTGCAGTCCCCAAGTAGCACCCAAAAGCTATAAGAGGACACACTTCTTGGTGTTCTTCTTTGTGGTAGGGTAAAGCACAGCCCGGACAGCTTCTGAAAATACCTCATGTACTCCATCCTGCATCAGAGCCGAACATTCCAGATACTTCACAGCCCCCACCTGCTTAGCCAGGGAAGTGCCTTGCTGAGGAGTCGTGGGCACTAGACTCTGTTCCTTCAGCTTCTTCACTGTCTCAAGGTCACTCCGCAGGTCCCTCTTGGTGCCTACCAGCAGAACAGGTACATTGGGGCAATGATGGGAGACCTCTGGGTGCCACTTATGCCTCACGTTGGCATAAGAGGATGGGTTGCTAATGGAAAAACAAATGACAAAGATATTGGTCTGGGGATAGGAGAGTGTTCGTAGTCGGTCATACTCTTCTTGGCCAGCAGTGTCCCACAGGTTCAGGCTGACGATTTGGCCATCCACAGATGTCTGAGCACTATAGTTATCAAAGACAGTAGGGATATACTCCTCAGGAAAGGCATTTGTTGTGTAACTGATGAGGAGGCAGGTCTTACCTACAGCCCCATCTCCTACAACTACACATTTGATTGTCTGCATTCTTCCCTTGTAGTCCTATGTAGAAGAGAGAAAGAATGTTCAGAGATAATTGGTTAACTTAGGGAGCCAATGCTTTATAAACATTTCTGAGGAGAAAGAGAGGGAGTAAGACACCGCCCCCCCGGCCCCCCCCCCCCACCCTTAACACTATAGGAGAGTCAGCTGCAAAAGGTTGTATAGGGCAACAGGGGTTTTTTTGTTTTTGTTTTTGTTTTTAAAAAGATGACCCGTAAGGGGATCTAAACCCTTGACTTGTTGTTGTCAGCACCACACTCTCCCAAGTGAGCCATGTGCTGGCCCAGCGCAACAGTTTTTACCATGGAGTCTATGGACTGTGAAAGGATGGTCCAGAAGCCACTGCTGAGGTTGTGTACAATATTATATGTATGTGCATAAGTGCATATTTTCTGGAAAGAAAATCCAAAGCTGTCATCAGATTCTCAAAAAAGGCTACGAGGGGCCGGCCCGTGGCTCACTTGGGAGAGTGTGGTGCTGATAACACCAAGGCCACGGGTTTGGATCCTATATAGGGATGGCTGGTTAGCTCACTTGGGTAAGCGTGGTGCTGACAACACCAAGTCAAGGGTTAAGATCCCCTTACCGGTCATCTTTTAAAAAAAAAAAAGAAATGAAAAAGGCTATGAGCCCCAAATGATTAAAAACCATTCAGATACACAGGTATTTATATTACACTGTTTTTATAAAGACTGGATACACTATATCAAAGGTGCTAAAATATTGTGGGTGTTTAATAAATGTTAACTAATTTTTTAACTAAAAGAAACATGGCTCTCTGGGTCTGTGACAATAGACTCAGCAAAGGAACCTCAAGGCCTGAAAAACAGTATCATCATAATACTGGAAAGAATGATAGACAAGTCAGACTCAGCCATATAAAGAAGTGGTTAAGGGCCGGCCCGTGGCTCACTCGGTAGAGTGCGGTGCTGATAACACCAAGGCCGCGGGTTTGGATCCCATATAGGGATGGCCGGTTCGCTCACTGGCTGAGCGTGGTGCTGACAGCACCAAGCCAAGGGTTGAGATCCCCTTACCAGTCATCCTTTAAAAAATAAAAAAAATAAAAAAAAGAAGTGGTTAAGAGTCAAGGCTCTGAAGTTAGGCTGCCTGGAGTCAAAAACCAGTCCTCCCTCTCCCTAAGCTTTGTGAATTTGGGCAAGTTTTTAACCTGAGGGTTAAATGAAAGAAGGCATGTGTAGTACTTTATTAGTCCCTGCTAGATAGACATTACTCATTAAGTGTTAGAAGCTGTATCGCTTCTTTTTTTTTTTTTTGTCTTTTTCGTGACCGGTAAGGGGATCACAACCCTTGGTGTGGTGTCGCCCGCACTGTGCTCAGCCAGTGAGCGCACCGGCCATTCCTATATATAGGATACGAACCCGCGGCAAGAGCGTCGCTGCGCTCCCAGCGCCGCACTCTCCCGAGTGCACCATGGGGCCGGCCCTGTATGGCTTCTTAATAATATTTCTTCTACTATTCTATTACTGAGGAAGGCAAAAATTCTGTAATATGGTTACAATGCTAGATAAACCAGAGGTGTCACCCCTCCCACTTTATCTGAGTAAAAGTACATGTCATAACACCACCTTACTCTCATCTATTTCTTTCATGAATCGAGTATTTCAGAGTAAATGATATGGCAGACATGATCTCCAAGAAGCATGTTTACTGTGAGCTCCCATGTTTATACCCCCATATTATTATTATTATTATTATTGTTATTTTTTTTTTTTTAAGATGACCGGTAAGGGGATCTTAACCCTTGACTTGGTGTTGTCAGCACCACACTCTCCCAAGTGAGCCACAGGCCAGCCACTATACCCCCATATTAATACCCCGTCAATGATCTACCCTCAATTTAGGCCCCAAAGCACTCTATTTTCTTTAGATTCTTAACTACTTCCCTAATCTCAGACCGAATCCTTATAGCATTAACTTCTTCAAGTGTGAGAACATTAGGGCCGGCCCAAGGGTTAAGATCCTCTTACCGGTCATCTTTAAAAAAAAAAAAAAAAAAAGTGTCAACACGGAGGAGGAAAGGGGATAAATAGTCATATGTATTTGGTTACAAAAAAAAAAAATTGAGAATCAATGAATTTCTCACCTTGGGAATTTGGGAAATAGTTACATTCCCCATTCTGTTGTCCTAAGGCCCATATCAAAGGCAAAAACAAAATAAATGAAACACAGCACCTCATGCTGGGTCAGGGTAAAGAAGTTAAGTCTTCAGAGTATGCTTCACACAAGCCCACTAGAGGTAGCTCTCTCCCTACACACAGACATTGTGAGCAGCTAGCCTTCCACCTGGAAGTCATCTTTAGCACAGGTCCCAGTTAAAACAAGTTAATTCAGCTCTGGTAGGCAACCACCCCAGGGTATTCACAGTCCATCAACTCTGTCTTTTACCATTTAGGAATAGGCCTAACGATCAAACACACAAGATCAGTGAAAACGGGGCAAAGTTACCACCACATTCCTTGAGAATAGTTTTCCTTGACTTCCCAGTCTGGATTAATTTCTCTTCTGAATTCCTATAGCAATTACTGCCTACGCAACTCATCTTCTCAGCCTTCTCTAGGTATCACCCAGTGTCCAACACCTCTGCCTAAAGTGACTCCTTTCAGGACAGCAGTGCAACTCAGGGGATTGATGAAACAGAGTAAAACTCTTAGATACAAGGGCGGGCCCGTGGCTCACTCGGGAGAGTGCGGTGCTGATAACACCAAGGCCCCGGGTTCGGATCCCATATAGGGATGGCCGTTTTGCTCACTGGCTGAGCGTGGTGCTGACAACACCAAGCCAAGGGTTGAGATCCCCTTACCGGTCATCTTTAAAAAAAAAAAAAAAAAAAAAAACTCTTAGATACAAAGACAGCTTTGCACCCCACACTCAGCTCCTCATGTCTGTAAATAGGAAAAGTCATCTACACTCATTTCTACTTGTTTATATCTACCAATGTGCCTGGCTCTACCAGTGCTCGTATATGGTCTGCAGATAGTGGGCACTCAAGGCACACTGATGTCTGAGGGCCTAGGTGATGAAGTGCAGCCAGAACATTACAGGTCTGAGACAAAACCCAAAGCAGTATCAATTTCCTATAAACATATTTGCCTATAGAAAACTTTCTGTGGAAGGGAAGGTTTAGTAAAAGTCCCAGGTATTTTGGAGGTGGGCTACCTCGTATAATTCACTTATTTTTTCAGCCCACATGTTCAGTATACTATTTTCTCTGTGTATATGTTTGAAATTCTTCATAGTTTAAAAGTCTCAAAGTAATACTAAAAATTAAAATAATACTTTTATTAAAGGGTTGGGGGCTCTGAGAAAAGGCTACGAGATACAAAAGAAAGGCAGATATTTTAGGATGTTCATCACCTATATGAGAAAAGCTTGTTTATCTCAGCTCCAGCTGTTTACCTTCAGCCTCATGCGGCACAATGCTGTCCTGTTAAGGATCAAGCACAGCTTTTCCCTCTTCATCATCACCACTGTCCATGCACTCTCCCAGATACTACACTAGGCAATGCACAGCTAGGAGGGATTTTTTAAAGGAAGTGAAAAAAGACTCTGAATGCTAGAAGCTTACAGTTTTGTGGCAACGGCAGGATCTATATAAAAAGGCAAACAATAATACACAGTAATGCATGGCTCAGAGAAAAAAGAGTTGCTGTGGGGAAGCAAAGAGAAAGTAAAAATAGGCGTTGTGCTATGTACTCATATACTTTATCTTATTTAAGCTGGGAGGCTTAAATAAGATAGCAGCTCAGAGATCTTTAGGTATGCCTATAGGATTGGAAATTGGGAGAGGTCTCAAACTGCAGAGAAGTGTACCCCAAAAGGCTCCCTTCTGACTTATTCACTCTTTAATTTGGGATTATAGTTTCTCCTAAATCTTCCAATGTCATCTAATAAAGCATCCTTCCCCACATGTACTGTCTGCCTGGCAGTCAATTTTCTCCCAGTCTGGACACACGATATGCAAGCTCCAACAACAGTGAGGACAAGAGTGCAGCTCAGAGTAGCACTGTTTCTAACACATTCTCCAAGTCTCAACCTTCCCACAAGCCTGAGTATAACGTCCACTTGAAATCGCTCTCTTTTTTTTTTTGAAAAAAGATGACCGGTAAGGGGATCTAAACCCTTGACTTGGTGTTGTCAGCACCACACTCACCCAGTGAGCGAACCGGCCATCCCTATATAGGATCCGAACCCGTGGCCTTGGTGTTATCAGCACCACACTCCTCCCGAGTGAGCCACGGGCCGGCCCTGAAATCGCTCTCTCTAACTTTCTGAAACCAAAACATTCAGTAGAAGGCCCCCATTTTTATTTACAACCGTCTGCAACTTAGTTGTCTACTAAATCGGGGAAGCTTTTCACATTGAAAACTTTTTTGGTTCAAGACGGGTCAGAAGAGACTCGACACTAGGAGATGAAGGAAGCTATGTGAATACTCCTCAACCCTGAGCTTGGAAACTTAACCGAAGGAGAGTGACTCATCGACACCACGAGCCCACTCGAAACTTCCCTCACATCCTTCTCCACCAAGGGTTGTTGGTTCCGCGGCTTCATATGTATGGACTCGTGAGCCTGGGACACAGAGGTTGCTCCTACTGGACTCACAAATAGGAAGAGCTGGCTCAATCTCCCCGACATACACCTAAGCACACCCCCCCCCCCAAATTCCTTCCATCCAGGGAGTGGTTCATATAAGGCAACCGTCCTGGGGGATGGGGAGACTCAAGGAGTCTCGAAGGTGGGGGTAGGCCGGGAGTTTCTCAATAAAGATTACCCAGCAAAGTCTGATCGTCCTCCAGCGCCGTTCAACCAAGGGTAGTGAAACTCCCCAGGTTGTCTCGAGTTGGGCTTGGCAGGTTTGGCGACCTCGGCGCCACATCCGGGTAGCGACCGAGTCCCACCCCCGTCGTCGGATGCAGTCTCTACTCAACGCCCCAGGACCTCCTGGGAAGTGGAGTTCTAAGGCCAGCTTCCCTTTCAGCAAGTCACAGGCTTGTAAACTACACCTTCAGGTGATGGAAGACCACTTAGATCCCGACACCAGTAGGAGTTACTCGGTCGGGGGTCCCCAAGCTTCACCTTTCCCTAAGCAAAGTGAGATCCCTCTTCCTTACATCCCTGTATTCTCCTCAGAACCAATATTAACATAAAGAGGCAGTCAGAGACCCGAGAAAGTATTTGAAAAAAATGAAAGCGATAAAAGAAAATGAAGTAGCGAGTAAATTACGGTTGCTTTCTGTCCCCATATATTAGTTTGCATTTCTACTGTTTTAGATAAATGGAATCATATAGTATGTACTCTTTTTTTAACAGCTTTATTGAGGTATAAATTCACACACCACACAATTCACCCATTTAAAGTGTACAATTCAATGTTTTTTTGGTATATTACATTGAGTGGTAAAATGCTCCTATATACAGTATAACATAATTTGCTTTTTAAATAATTTTTAAGTGTACAACTCAGAGACATAAAGTACATTTACAATGTTGCGCAACTATCACCGCTCTCTATTTCCAAAACTTTCATCACCCCAAACAGAAACCCTGTACTGATTAAACAATAACTCCCCTGCCCCCAGCCCCTGGTAACCTCTAATCTACTTTCTGTCGCTGTAAGTTTGACTGTTCTAGGTACCTAACACAAGTGGAATCATGCTTTATTTATCCTTGTGTGTGGCTCATTTCACGGTGCATAATGTTTTCAAAGTTCATTCATGTCGTAGCATGTATCAGTACTTCATTTTTATGGCTAAATAATATTCCATTGTATGGATATACCACATTTTGTTTATCCATTCATCTGTTGATGGATATTTGGATTTGTTTCCAACTTTTGGATATTGTGAATAATGCTGCAAGGAAAAAGTACCTGGTTTCATTGATTTTCTCTATCATTTTTATGTTCTATTTCACTGAATTCCACTTTGATCTTTATTATTTCTGTTTTTATACTTTGAGTTTTATTTGTTCTTCCTTTTATTAGTTTACTTAAGTGAAAGCTGAAATCATTGTTTTGATGACCTTTCTTCTGTTCTAATATAGGTGTTCAGTGCTAAAAAATTCTCCCCTGTAGTGTACTGAATTATGTCCCCGCAAAACTCACTGAAGCTTGAATTGTGTCCCCCAAGTTTATGTATTAGAATTTTAGCCACCACTGTGACTGTTAAGAGGGTGGGAAATCCTATTACGGTAGTTGAAAGGTGGAGCCTTAAATAGATGATTGGATTGTAGGACCGTGCAGTAGTGAATGGATTAAAAATGGTGGTCAGGGGCGTGGTTCTGAGGGCTTTTTTTTTTTTTTCCTTTTTGTCTTTTTTCGTGTCTGGCAACGGACTGCAACCCTCAGTGTCACGCCCGTACCGGACCGGGACCGGCAACGGATCGCAACCCTCAGTGCTGCGCCCGCCCCTCGCTCAGCCAGTGAGCGGCCGGTCTGTATGTGGGATCCGAACCCTCGGCGGGGGGCGCCGCCGCGCTCCTAAGCGGAGCACTGTAGCAGTGCGCCACCGGGCCGGCCCCTGAGGGCTTTAAAAGAAGAGAAGAGTCTGTCTCTCTCTCTTTTCTCTCCCTGCTTCCACCATCTTGCGATGTGAGATCCCTGGGTCACTGTCACCACCACCAAATGGATCTTGGACTTCCCAGCCTTAGAAACTGTAAGCAATAAATTTCGTTTTTCTTTATAATTACCCAGTTCCATGTATTTGGGTTTTATTTGTTTGTTCGTTTTTAAAGATGACCGGTAAGAGGATCTTAACTCTTTTTTTTTTTTTTTTAAAGATGACCAGTAAGGGGATCTTAACCCTTGACTTGGTGTTGTCAGCACCACGCTCAGCCAGTGAGCCAACCGGCCATCCCTATATGGGATCCGAACCCGGGGCCTTGGTGTTATCAGCACCGCACTCTCCCGAGTGAGCCACGGGCCGGCCCCGTGTATTTTGTTATAAGTGACACAAAACGGACTAATACGCCCCCTAACTACTGCTTTAGCAGAAGCCCCAAAATTGTGATATGGTGTGGTTTCATTTTCATTCAGTTAAAAAGTTTCCTAATGGGCCGGCCTACCAACTGAGCCAACTGGCCAGCCCTGTACTTTTTCTTTTTAAAATCAAATTTAGGGGCCGGCCCGGTGGCGCACTGCTACAGTGCGCCACTTGCGAGCACGGTGGCGCTCCCGCCGAGGGTTCGGATCCCACATACAGACCGGTTCCTGCTCACTGGCTGAGCGAGGTGTGGGAGCAACACCGAGGG